GCCACAGACCATGCAAAGCTCTGGCTCTACCACGAAGCACAGCACTGAAGAATTTTCCCTCCTTGCTCAAGTACTTGCCTGCAGAGATCACACAACTGGTCATGTCTGAGTTTACACGACCTGATTATTCATTAAAACAAAAGTTGGATCAGCCTTCAGTGCTGGTCAGTTTTTACTGTGATGTTTCCCCAATGCACAGAGGCCACCCTGAAAGGAACATATGGGGAAAACTGGACCATGCACCATGCTGGGCTGAAGCCCATGTCATTCTTGCAGAGACAAGGTGGAACTAGTTACACTCAAAAAAAAAAGGTACCTGTGCCCAGAGGGGCAAGGAAAGGAAGATGGGGTGAGGGAAGCTGTTTGGTTCGCCTTGCATGACTCTGCATATTTGGAGGAAAAGAGGAGTGGCACCAAAGTGTGGTCCAAGATCGCTGCCTCAGACTGTGCTTTCCTTTACAGTCACGTAGGTAGGGGCAAGCCCAGGTTTTGTGTTTTAACATGGTCAAGTGGAACATAGGGGCTTGAGAGACACCATGAGACTCCTGTCCAAGGCTTGCAGCCTCTACCATTACTCCAGCTCACTGTAGACTTCTGTTATAGACTGCTCTAGCTCTGCTAGCATGGTAATTAGGCTGGATTTTGTCCTACTTCTCTCAATAAAAGGTTGTTTGGGAACCTCCTTACTCTGATGATTAGAAATCAGATAAGAAGATGGGAGCTGCCACGTGTGGTCAGCTGAAGGATCCTTCTGAGTATCATATGTCCAGCATTAGTCAGTAGTTTATTTACACAGAAAAAGCAAGATCTCTTAAATTTAGAGAACCTAGAATATAACCAAACCAAACAAATTATCAGCTTCTCTGGAAGAAACACAAAGCATTTGTGAGGCCACATCTAAGTGTTCCATGTCTAGCTGTAGGGTCCTTGGTAACAGAGCAAGTCCAACAGAAGGATGTGGTATACCAAGGACAAGAGAGCTAGGCTTGTCCAGCCTTAAGAAGAGGAGGCTGAAAGGAGACCTTACTGTTGTCTGACACTACCTCACGGGAAATACAGAGTCAAAGTCATCTTGGAAGTGCACAGTGAAAGGATGAGAGGCACCAAACAGAAGTTGTATACAAGGAAATCCCAATTAGATATTAGCAAATAACTTTCACAAGGATGCTGGTCAAACCACCTCCTGCAGGGATGTGTGAGGCTCTCCCAGCAAAAGCTTATTCTGACTTTGAAGTTGGCTGTGCTTTGAGTAGGGATTGGGCCAGGTGGTCTCTTCTGACCTTATTTATTGTGTGATTCTATGTTTTGTTTATAGATACACCTAATTTTTTTTCATTTATATGTGTACTTGTAGTTCAGGCAACTATGAGTGTAATCACCATTGTCAAACAATTCTCAAAATAAGACCTCATTTTCACTTCCTTGTAGCATTACAAGATGTCATTCATTTGGGTTAAAATTACCAGTGAAGCTCTTCATCCTGCAACTTTTCTTTCAGTATGTTAATCTCTTTCCCTTTGCTGTTCCGGTTTACATGCTCTAACTGTTTCCAAGAACAAGATTTCTGAAAAAGCCATGACCAAGAGCCAGGTGGTGGCTTGGAAACCAGGCAGCATCTCCAGTAGATGTGGCTTACAGGGTTATGTGGATGATCAAGGCCCACACTTGAGCTCAGCTCCTGGGTCTCCTTTCAGTGGCAGTCCTTTTTTCCAGACAGTGGCATCAACAGCTTGTGCAGGTGTCTCTCAGTACCACTGGTGTTGGTGGGAGCTCTGGTCCAACATCTCCAAAATCTATCCCTGGCCCCCAGGGGTTTGGTGCCCAGAGGAGGTGCCCCAGGTTTGGTGCCTGTGGCTCATGTGGTGGCTCTGTGTCTGCACATCGAGGACAGAATCCAACCTCTTGGTGTCAAGATCAATCAGGCAATTACAAAACAAGGTGGGACAGCAGATCCAAAAGGAAGTAGGTCCTTCCCCTCTGCCACTCACAGAAGTCCAACTGCTCTGAATTCACCGCTCTCTGAAGTCAACAGTACCACGCTTGGTTAAAATGTCTGCAACCTCCATACTACCCTCTCTGTAATGCTTTAACTACGTCAGGTGAAAACCATATTTCAAATGAAGCTGGTGAGGCTCTGAGGCATGAGCAAACCCTCCAGCATTACTGTCCATATTGCCCTTTTTGCAGCCTCTCCTTTAATGCTTCAATGCAGAAGGTGGCACTTAAAATGGACAGTCATACTCAAAGGACCAGCACTCTCATTTGTGAACCCTTCACGAACTCAGGAAAAAATCAATAAGGGAGGAGTTTAAAAAGACCATCAACATCATATTTCATCCCTGTATTAGTAGATCTGCAGAGAAAGTCTAGGGTTGTTTTGCATCTGGGATAAAAAAAAACCTAATGAAAAAAGCAGTGTAGGATTGGCTGCAGAGGATTAGGTTTCATTTTAACACTTTAAACAAACATGGAAATCTCAGTGTAAGCTTCTCGAAGATTAAGCACTCATGAACTTGGGAAGAAAGAGCACAGGGCTGAGACTTGTGAGACTTTAGGATTGCTGTCTTCTCTACCACCATACAATATGCAGTGTGACCATGTCCTGTTTCATTCAAGCCGGATCTTCCAGGCTAACTTCTGCCTTCCACTTTCAGGGGGATCTGAGGACTCAAACACAATTAGGAGATGTTTGCTGGGTTTCCTCTCTTTCAGTGCTGCCTGCTTATCTTCGAGGTGTTGCAAGACCTCTGGGATGAAGACTGGTCCCTACATGTTTGTAAAATGATGAGCTCTGATCTTTATTTCTCTCTTCTGAGGGTCCTTATAAGGAGTCGAGTTGCCACATGCTGGTGTCCACACTTCTTCTGTGTCCAGAGTCACTGACCACAGGCTTGAGGTCTGTGGCTTTAAAGAGAGACACCGATGTTAATGGCTCTGGTGAGGTGCAACCAAGGGCTGAAGTGAGGCTGAAATGCTTCATCATGTTATGTGACTGGTGCCAGAGCCCTGAGCTTGCTGGGAGTGGCTGACAGCAGGGCCCATCCAGGGCACACACAGCCCCACTCTCTACATGGCTCTTCACCCTTTTGTGCACATTCACAGCTTGTGTGGGAGAAGGTACACAAACTAAGTGTCCCCTCCTTTTTTATTAAAAAAAACCCTCCAAACAAACTGTTGAGCTTGACAAGAATAAAAACTCCTCTCATAACATCAGACCGCGCATTCCCACCCCCACTAAAGGCCACAGCAAAATTGCTACTTGCTCTGTCCTACAGCCCAGGGAAGTACCAGTGACCCCCACATGCTCATGTACAGTGGCACCTGACTCACTCCCTTCTCTGGGTGGAGCAAAACATCTTGCATGGCGATACCTCCACTGACCCCAGATACAAAGGTTGGCCAGTGCTTGTGTGTGGGTGGCGGGACCCAGTTTCCTCCTCCTCTTTCATGTGACATAAATGGGAATGACCCAGGGTTTATGAATCCCAGATGGAAGATGTCAGGAGTGGAAAGCAGAGCTGGCCCAGAAGCTATGGACCTGACAGGCAATGTGTATATTCATTTGCAAGGCTCGTTATAGGCAGGGAACATGTGGCACTTTGGTACGTTAAGGTAAGGGCTGGTTGTCTTTCCAGTGTGTAAAATGGCATCCACCCATGCATTTCAAATACAAAATTACAGTTGTCACAAAGCTACTTCAGCTTCTGACCTCATTTCCCTCACATTTTGCAGGAAAAAGAGGATTATTCCCTGTTTGCCCAAACAAGAAAGTGATGTTCGTTATGTGTATCTGTGCACAGTCGGGCAGGAAGAGGTATGTGTGGTGTACAAATACGCTCATACAGCTTTGATTGCACAGTTGTATCATAGATGGGGGTGAAACCAAACAATATTGTGTAACAGCAGAGTTACACAACTTTTGGATCCTGTACTGGAGATCAAGAAACTCCTGCTAATTGATTTCAGATATTGAAGCACATCCTAGATACTGGAAGCTTGGTACATTACACAGACACCCCCCAAAATTGTCCCAGTATAGCTGACAACATTTTAATTTGTTTTGCATTAAGATTAAAAAGATGAAAGATGCAAGGTGTCTAATAGCTTTCCACAAGGAAAAAAGTCAAAGCAGCAGCAAAATTCAAGTGCATTGGATGATGGTGACAACTTGACAAAGCACACTTCTACATGTGGTCACAGTGAAGCCTAAATGTCACACCTTGAAAAGCCAGGGGAAGCAATTCTTGTCAAACCTGGCTTCCCCAGGGTATATCATACATATCCAGGGCCACTCATCCTGCCACAGGAGCACATCTTAGGCAAAAAAAAAAAAAAAAAAAAAAAAAGTTAACTGCTTCTGGTAATCTTGCTTATAGAAAGAGGGATGTTTTAGAAGAAGCACCCTGGTGAGCTGTGCTTTAGAATCCTTTTCCCCTTGCTTCTAGAAAAATTCTTCTGTAAATTCCTTGCAGTTGCAGCATCTTGGTTATTTCTGGGAGACAGATGAGGTTGCCATCTTCTGATGTGTCCCCAGTAGACTCTCTTTGAGGAGACAACCACTTCCAGGCAGAGACACCTAAGCTCAGCTGGGACCCCCACAAGACCAGACTAGGAGAGATGAAGTTTTTTCTCTGCGTAACACACATTGCAAGACTTTTTGGCAAGTGCATCATAGCTTCACAGTCAGTGTTGGTAGCCTCTTCTCTTGCTGCAGAAACTCCCCTGAAAGGCAGCCCTGGCCACTAATATAGATCTGGCGATACAGCAAAAAAACACCCCCACACATCAAAACCAACAGTATTAGGGTTACTACAGAGACCCAAGTCACTGTTGACTCCAAGGAAATCAGAAATTGATTTCTGTCATACATGGGAAGCCAGGAAGAGCTTGGTACCAGAGTCAGGTTGGGAAAAATGACTAGGAAAGATGCCATGCTCCCAAGTAAAGCCTTCAGCCACCAAATGCCCTGCTAAGGGGCTGATGTCGTGAAGATGGGGAAGTTCACTGCTGTGATATGAGGTTTATTTGCCCACGAAGCTGTAGCATGAAACTTGTGTAGATACTGTGAATTGAAAGTGTGTGTCAGGACTTAACACACTGCTGCAGTGAAAACCGAAGTCAGGAGTTGTCCTCTGTCATGAGAGAGAGTTCACGCGAAGTCGTGAGATTTCATCGCTTGCTTTCAGTCCCTGCACCTCATATCAGCTCCCTGTGATTAAACGAAGCATACAGCACGGTTTTATAGCACAGCCTGTGCTTCTCATAAAACTTCTTGGCAAGAAAGAATTTTTCTCAAGATACACCGTGAAAACAACAAGGCTTTTTCTATAACCACAAAATAATTGTCCTAGAACTACTACTGTACCAAACAGAATCTGTTCTCATTATACTTTTTGTTTATTGGCAAACACAGTGCTCACTGCAATGAGGAATGTTTGAAAAACAAAATCTTGTGATAGATTTTATCCAAGATATTTTTGTGTTCACAGGGCACATTACTGATAGTTGCTCTGTGCTTCATGATAAGTTCAGAGAATAATAAATTACTAGGAAAAATTTTTCTATTCCAAGAAACAGCATTTATGCCCCTCAGTCAGAACGTCACTGTACTTACTAAAGCTGGTCGAAAGAAATAGTTTTCTGTATATTTTGAAAAACTTTGAGTAATTTTTACTTTCTGCATTTTTTATCTTATCTTAAAAATAAAATAAGTTCAAAAACCCTTTCCAAATTCTGAGATCTGAATTTTTTTTAGAAGAAGCACCAAATGCCAGAGGAGGACATTACTAGGATTTACAGCATCCCAGTCCAAATTTGCACCTTGTCCCACACAAGCCAAATTCCCATTAGCACTTGAGCTTCAGCCAGCAATACAATTCCTGTTTCCCTTTCTGTCCTTTTTTTTGGAGCTGACTCACCACCTTTGTCATCCCTGCATGCCAGGTCAGCTTAAGGACTGTGGCCAACCAAGAGCAGCATCTCTCTGAGCTGGTACCCAGAGGGTTCTGCCGAAAACGGGAAGCACTGCTCCTGCTACAAAAGAAGCTCTATGATGTCATGTGTTACAACTGGGATAGAGAGGTTAGATAGAACCACTTTCAGACAGTGCTTTTTGCACCAGTATGTGGAAAAAGGTAAAACCCCTCATGTTATCATCTCTTGGCTCCCTCATTTTCTTCTTTTCAAACCCTAAATGACCCAGACGGAAAGAACAGCGCCAGTGCTTTGCTTACCCACAATTAGGAAGGAAACAAGTTTAAACTGTGTATGTTTTGTCTGTGGCAAAGGGAAGACTCGTGCTCCACAGTCTGCCCCCAAAATTACTCCTAATAGGACTAAACAGTGTTTTGCAACCGGGCTCTCGGCAAGAAATGAGCTGCCCTCAAAAGGCACGCCTGCATGCTAGCACCAAAATGCCAGCGTGCTTTTGCTTGTATCATGCTATTGTCATTATAATGGAAAATAATGAGCTGTAAACAAATTATATGTCTCGATACAGCCTTTTAATGAGTTGAGGTGCATACCTAGTTGTAGGTAAAAGGTAAAACAACAGCACTAGACAAGTAATTTCTGGATCCATTACAAGTAATTTGCAAGCACAGGCAACCCAGTTTTGCAATCTCACTCATCTTCATTTCCTCCAAACCCTGCATCTTGCCAGCAACAGCATGCTCTGGCTTTTTTTTTTTTTTTTTGGAAGAGTTTGCCTTTACTCAGCTCTCTTGCCCTGGCTGTGCTTGTATGAGCATCAATAAATGTTTAACTCCATTGATAGTTCTAGGCTGGAGTAAAAGAGAAAAGCAAGTCTTCTATGGACAGGGATTAATATTTTCTCCTAAATTTGCCGTTTTAATTATTACATGAAGAAATTAGGGTTATATTTGCCTAAAGGTGCTACTTTTGTTACATGCTTCACAAATGCCTGAAGTGGTTGCTGTAAGCTTCATCAGGCAATTTCAGCAAATTGGAGCAAGTTCCTGAGCCTGTGCCTTGCTGTTTATCCTGCAGCATATCAGTGTTTTCATAATCTGCCCTACACGTAGGGAGCCCCCTGGCAGACAGCTGCAGTACAGAGGGACACTGATAAACAAAAATGAAAGCAAAGGCATGCACTCGCCAGATACCTGTTAAGCAAGACGCCTCCAGTTTGAGCTGCAGAAGCCAAAAACTTGTGCAGGTTCCTGGAGGCATCTCAATGAGGGGGAATAGGGCACACAGACAAACTGTGTGGCACAGTGCTTGCTGGCTTCACCTCCCTGGAATCTTAAAGCCTTTTCAAATTGATAGCCCATTCCCTGGCCATTATAGGACAATTCTTTAGCCAGTTTCCTGGTGTTTTGGGGAAAAAAAAACCCAACACAAAACAAACCCAACCAAAGCCAACCCTCCAGCACTGCAGCTTAGAAAGATTAAGCGGGCTCAGCTGATCTTACCACTGGGAAATGCTGGCTTCTCCCAGAGCAGTGTCTGCTATAAGAACAAAAAAAATAGAATAAGGAAAGGGTTGAATAAGAAAAGGGGAAACACACATACTGTTTTACAGTAAGAGCTTAGGAACATTTACCTACAGCAGCAGCCCACATCACAGCCAAGGCGAGCAGGGGCCAGATGCTGGGTTTCTGCTTGTGTGTGGCTGCAGGCACCTTGAAATAGGAGCAAAACCCCCCTGAAAACTGAGTTTTGCCATTTGGGGAAAGACAGGCACACACGCCATGCAAAATGTAGGTCAGGGCCACAGGTACGACCTGGGGTGCTCTGCAGGGACCTGTGCGATGGTCTAACCAAGTTGCACAAAGGGGAAACATATCAAGATCCTGTACAGCTGGCCTGTGCTTGTATCACTCACTAAATATTTTATGAATGCTAACTGCCTAACCTACTTTATTCCTTTCCCCTACTGCAGCGTTGACTGGCTTCTCCATTTTTATTCTATTATTGATGCATTTTGAGGAAGACACTGTCTCGCAACCAAACAATGATCTTAGATGTCAGATAAAAAAGGAGATGCAAAAAGGGAAGGTAAAACAGACAACCCTAAGAAGAAGAAAGCAATATGGGGGCCAAGGAAAATATAAATTGAGTGGTAGGGCACTGTCACCATTTTACAGTAGAGTGGAAACCAGCAAAGTCTGAGGGTATGGAGGAAGTGTATGGAGGATCAAATTAATCTTCTATCTCTTCCTTAGAAAAAAAAGAAAAATTATTTCACCCTGGGAACTGCACACGCATGAATTTTATTGATACAAATATATTTTGAAGTTCCATGCTAATCCAGACAATACCTAGTTTTGCCACCATAAATATTCATGGAGAGGGAAAAGGGGGTAGGTGCAGGCAGGACTCCAGATGGTAGAAGGGTTTTTACGTGACAGGCACCTCAGTAAGTTCAGTCAGTGCACGGTTCTCCTGGTACTGCTGAGAGCAGAGATCGCTGAGCCAGGGTGCTCTCTGGCCTTATCAAAATCAGGGAAAGCAGACAAGGAGCAATAAAAAATAAACCACAGTTATATGGGATGATATCCCACAATGGCCCTTGCTCCAGTATTTCAGAACCCAGTGTTCAGTTTAATCAAGCATAGGTCTACTGAGCGGAGCCGCTCATGGCACATCTGGGGATGCATAGCTGCAGCTCTGTCAGCAAAGAGCCATTTTTCTTCATTACTAACAAAACATGGTTCTTTGGTTTCTGTTTTTTTGGTCAGCCAAAGAGAAGAAAGAAATGGTGGCTAAATGGCAGAGACAGCCACTGGCTTTTTTCAGTGATGTCAAATACCTATACACTGGCATTCCTGTTTCCCACTCATTGCCTCTCCCTGTGTTGCACCAGAGATATCCCTGCTCCCCAGTTTGAAGCGGTGCAACAGCGACAGCATTAATCATATGGCTGAGCACCAAGTTTCCTTAGGGCTGATTTATGCTGTAGAAGAGTGTTTTTCGCTCTGAACAGACTCCTTTCAGTGCAACAGAATTGCCTCAACATTGTCACAATTTGGTCCTGCGAGCTGGGGTGGGACATGCATGTCTGTGATAGCCACATTCGCGTATATCTGTGAATGCACGTATCTCTTGTGCTGGCCCCGTGAGCAAAGCCTGGGCCATGCTGTTTCCATGAAACCTGCTGATTTACTGCTTGATGTTACTTATAGTGACAGGTACCAGGGCATGATTCACTCATTTGCTCTCTAAAAGCTCCACCTTTTATTCTTCAATTGTATCTTCCATCCTCAGTGCGGGGGAAAAAAATGCCCAGGAAGAGGAGGCTTTTTGAGCCAACAGGCAGCACATACAAAGCATAGCCCCAACATGTAGGGGCAAGCAAGGGCCAAGGCATAAGCCAAGAGGGGATTATCAAGGGACATCAGTAATCACATTCGATGTGAATCACATCAGGAATCACATTCTATGGTTCCATGATCTCTACTCCCTGAAATGAGAAAGCTTTCATCGTTCTCCTTTCTATAGGAGAAGCATTTAATGCCTTTTAGCTTCTACTTTTCTTCTCCAGAACAACAGTTGCATGTGGGTGCATAATACAAATACCAGCAGCACCAGTAGGTAAGGTAGGTGACTCTAATAAGGAAAGAGTTCAGGCAGAAGTTAATTATTTGCAAATTGCCAGTGATACTTTGACCTCAGATACTTGAAGACCTGGCTAATGACATCTCTGGGCCATGAGTAGTTAGTTAGCTGTCTGTAAGACTTGATGGAGGATGAATCAAGCTGTGACTTGTCAAGAAGGACAAATAGGGTGACTGCCTTTAAAACTGGCCAACTTCATTTCAATGTCCTGGAAAATCTTGGAGCAAATAATCAAATATGGGCTAGTTCACACTTGGTGGTAAAAGGAACGAGCTCTAAATGAGCTAAAGCAAATTTATTTCCTTTTCCAGCTAGTCATCAGTCTTACAGAAAGGAGAGAGGCAGTAAATGTCATGTATCTTGGCGTCTGAGTATTTTGAAAGTGCCTCTTTTGCCATTTTCATCATAAGTAAGCTCAAAAGAGATTTGTGAGAGGGTGACGCAAAGCTTGTCAAACCGTAGCAAGAGGGAGAGTGGCAGCAGGCACAGTGTCGAGATGTACCAGGAACAGCAGGGCAGGCTGCCAGGGCTTGGCATCCTCACTGGTGCCACTGAGGGGATGCTATGCTGGTCTGTCCCCCCCGCCCCGCGGGGTGGGATGGGGAGAAACACACGGTGCAATTCAGAACAGGGACAAGTTCGTATGAGATGGTGCTATAAGGAACAATGGACAAATCCAGCGGGGCAATAGCCTGGCTGGCAGATGGCTGTCTTTTGAGCTAAAGCCCGGGAGCACCGTGTTTCTGAGACAGAGGCAAACGCCATGCTGGGATGCACAAACAAGGGTATGGCTTGCAAGGTGCAGGCAGAAGCCCTTTTCCTCTACGCTGCTATAAGTCAGGCAGTTGGTTTTGGTGTATGGCACTCCAAGAATGGAGTGCCATCTCAGCTGGACACGGTGTTGGGGGTAGAGGGCCTGGACAACATCACCTATCAGACAAGACCAAGCGCACTGCCGTTGTTTTGCCTGGAGAAAGAGAGTATTTCAACATGTGGGGCTGCAAAGCGTAAGGCAATTACCCTGCTCTCTGCCTGTGGGGCAGCAAGGCAGTTTCAGCTTAGTCACTGGGAAATAATTATAGCTGGTCAGGGCAGCGGGCAGAGGACAGACAGCAGCCAGACGTGGAGGCGATGGAGCCTCCATCACTGCATATCTAAAAGGCAACCTGTTGGAACAATGTGGGTGCAGTTTATATACTATTACTGACATTATGCTATAGGTAATATTTTTGTATGGTATCTATAATACCCTAAGTCAGTAAGAGACAGTAAATATCCCAGTGGGATCCCTTCCAGCATTCATTCTTCACTGAGCACAGCTCAGACTGAAATTCTTCATGCTGCACATCATTTATAGGAGAAAAATCAGCCATGCAGAGCACAGCATGAATGCCAAGTGGGAAATGTCCCCCAC